GGTCAGAAATCCACGACACAGGTTACAGTCCAACAGGTTTATTTGAAAATACAAGCTTTCTGAGTCTTACTCCTTCTTCAGGTGTCAATGAGACAGGTAGTATCAGACACAGAATTTGTAAGTAAAAGATTTAAGAACTGAGCAAGAAGGTTTTGCGTGGAGATAAAGATGACTCTTCACAGAGGTTTGCGTGTTGCTAGGGATAAAGTGAGGAACCTTTCTTGCTGGTGTTTGCAATGAGCGCATTCTAATTGTTCTTGTCTGGTGTAACATACATTGTGTTTTCCTTTTTGTCGTAACATTTATATTCTTTTGATGAATTCTATTGGCAACCTTTGGGAAGATGTTCAGTGACTGACCTCCTGTGTAGGCAAAAAGAAAAAGAAAACTTATGATCTATCAAACCAGGCTTCATCCTGGAAGGTGACTTGTCCGTTATTACCATCAACTGGGATCATAACAGTATTCATTCCCTTTGGGCTTCTCATGCTCCTTGTAGTTGGATTTCCACAATTAGCTACAATTCCTTACAAAGCAGTACATACATTTTATCTTTAATGATAATGTTGCTAGTTTGGTCTTTACTATTGTATTTCAGAATGACTGAATTTAGAATACCCAAGCAAAAGGAAATAAAGTTTTTTTTATGTCATGTTCTTTCTGGTTAATAATAACATATTTAGACAATTTTTAGTCCCACAACATCATTTCTCTTCTCTTGACCAGTGAGGAAAGATATATACTGTATTTAATATTTGTCACAAACAAGAATTGAAAGATACACAAATCTTCCATTACCATCAATTACTCGGTGAGATTTTCTGTGGAACGAAGTATGAAAAATTGCTGGATTAATTAAATCAAATTGAGGAAGATTGAGGAGAAGCTTGCACAGAAGCAGACTGTTTGTGTCGAGAGTGAGTGTGAAGCCAGGTATAGGAAGAGGCCCAGTGAGAGTAAGAAGATTTACAACTTGTCAACCCCTCCAGACATACAGGAAAAGGATATATTCAGTGCATGTAGTCACAGTGGTGCAGCTAACTTTTCACTAAACAGGCCACATGAGCTATTAGCCAAAAAAAGCAATCAATTAGTGGCTAGAGTTTCATGTATGCAGAATGGAATTCTTTTGGATCGATACAACTTGAAGCAGTTACTGTTTCATCCCTATTTACTTGGGTACCTTAGCTACCATTTACAATGAGCCAAATTTCTGTTTTTATTTCCTAACTACTGCTGTACATACCTATGGTGTGAATCAATAACCATGACAAGAATCGCTGAAACCTGCCTTTTATAATCTTTGTGTGTTAACACATCTCCAGCTTTTTCCAATTTACAACATTCTACGTTCTACTTGAGTCCAAATGTGAAATGGCATTGAGAATTGTTTCTTTTTTCTTTGTCTTTTCTTGTTAGTGCAGCTTTCATATCACAAATAAGTTGATAGAAAATCTAATAGCCAGTTTATATTCACAATCGGAAGTCAAAGAACACCAAACATCTGCTTGTATTCAATCCCTGCTTGTCAGTTTAAAGTGGCGAGTCTGTGTTTCAGATAGTGTCTGATTTAGAATGAAACAATTCTGAAATAGATTTTGTGCTTGAGTCAGGTCAGAGGTTGTGGAATGGGAAGTCAGTACAGATATATTCTTTGCAATTATTGATCACTTTTTCATTCCTTTGTGTGCATATCAATTTCTATTTTCTTATATGTGCCTGCACAAGTATTGATGGGTGGAGATGAGTAAAGATTTGTAATACAAAACTGTGGCCCTTGTTCCAATGAAAATGGAATTTGTTTGAACTCAGTACTGAGTTCAAGTGACCCTGCTGAGTTCGGGTTTGCAATATGTGGGAGTCAGGTCTTGGCCTCTTTTCTTTCATCCCAGTGAAAATAGGGTCTGTCTGAAATGGGGATAAGACTTCCGGATTCGGGTCCCATCTGCCATTTTGGAAGGTCCCCTGAGTCTCCATGACTCCATAAACATCCAAGATTTTGGGTCTAGTTTCTTAACTTCATCAACTGGTTCGGGTAGTGGAATAATACTGTTGACAGTATCAGCTAAAATGGGGGCCAGAGAGGATACTTGTGTGGCGAGCAGTATCGTGGAAATAGGGCTGTGTGAACAGAAGGTGAATCTCATAGACAAAATGAGCTTGGAGAGAGTTTTGATAGGAGAGGCGTTACAGAAAGATGAGAGGTCAATGTAAAAACAAGGGGGAGTTTTAGGGGAATTTTGGCTTGGTGGCTAGTAGAAACAGAGGAAACAGCAAGGGTAGCTGATCAAATATTCTTAATGTTAATATGAAAGAGGTGGGAAAGGTTTCGGGAAAAGGATTTCAGAAGGACATAAAAAACAAATTAAAGTACTCACAATACTAAGCTGTTCTGTTAAGAGAGCTGAGTAACCTGGCAATTCCACAATTGTGTCAGACCTATGGAAAAAGTCAGAAATTGGACTTATCTGTTCTGTGGGTGCTATGAATGTCCTTAGAGTTTCAAATAGTTTCCATAATTCAAACATGGTGATGGGAAACACATTGTGCAGATAGCATTTTGATGTAGACATTTGTATGCATACAGTGACTGTCCACTGGAAACATTCAGATCATGATTTCAAGCAGCAAGCAATGTCATTTTGGGGTTTAGTGCTCTGACCAAAGCCCTGTCTTAACTTTGCATGGTTGAATGTGTTCATTGGCAATACTATTGAATGGCATTATGCTTACAAAATTTTTGGTAGATTTTTTCTAGCTGTATTTTCTGTGAGTTTCTGGTATTTTTATCATTGTTTTAAATTGCAAAGGTCTACAGGGAGTGTGTGGTCAGCACTGAAGAATGCTTTGCAGATTTCTAAGTTTCCACGCAAGGCAGTTACTCCCAGATACGGATGTAATATTAGGCATTCTCTTGGGAATACAGCATCACAAGGAGAATAAATAGAGACTCAAGCATGGCAGGAGAGGCTGCTACAAGAGAGAGGAAGATTTGATGGAGAAGGGCTGTCAACAGAAGGCTATATTTGCCCTGGGTATTTGTGGAAAAATTCTCCAACCGAATTTCCAATAGAAATGTTGTGTATAAAATGTGTGCTTCAATAAAGATATCCCATTAAAATCTGCCACCTACTGCAGCCACAGCTGTAAACTCAGAGCAAGGTAAAGACCATTGGCAGTGGCATGCATATTATTGTGATGAGAGCCTGTGCATCTGGCTTCTTCCTGAAGCTGGAGATAGTTGCTTCCTCTCATAGATGCAACTCTATTCAAAGAGAGCTCTGCACATTTCATTCTGTGGTGCCAGAGCCAAGCTAACAGATTGAGAATGTGACTTTGCTAAGATATCTCGATTCCCCACTTGGAAAGGTGCCATTGGCTTTGTGGGCACCCCATGTCAACCTTGTCATACACCAAACTGAAAAAGATTCCACTCTCTCAAATGTCCAGCTGCTATGTTATCAAGGCAGCTAATCCAATCTGCAACATTCATAGAATCCCTACAGTGTGGAAACAGGCCCTTTGGCCCAACAAGTCCACACTGACCCT